AATTCCAAAATTCTCCTGTGCTGATTTCGTCCTTAGTAATAGCATTTTAGTACAATGTCACTACCACCCCAACTCTACCCCATAGTAGTTAAGTACAGTATGGCCAAAAATCTCATCATAGTGTAGAAGCAGCAGTGCTCCATATCACTTCCAGGCCTGACCCTTTACAGCCTGCAAGCTTTTCCCCTTTGGCTGGCTGCGGTGGCAATGACAAGAACAACTTTGTGAGTCACATAAAGATGACAAAACTGTCAATATCCTGGATCTCTAAACGATCCTGTGGAGAATAGCTGCCCACTAACCTGGACCACTTCCGTGGATTGTAAACCTGAGAAGGATGTATGTTTTCTTTTTCTTGAGACGTGCACCTGAAGGTTTTTTTGTTTTTAATTTTTTTATTACCCTACCTAATATAAATCTAGACTTGCTGCTATAAACTCATGGTTTCTATACCCACCTGGCCTCGGTAGAACTCTGCAGTTCTTAAGAAGCTGCCACTCTCTTTGCCTCTGCAGCTTTTTGAAACCTTCAGAACTCTCTTCGAGATGTCATTCTAACCTCTAACCTTGCCTTTCTCAGCAGATGCCATTGACTCATAGACAAAATGATGCCATCAGGCATGAATTCCTTTAATTTCCCCCTTTTCCAGCTCAAAAATTATCCATATTGTCCCAATCGTAATTCTTTTCACATTATTAAGAATTGTATTTCTCTTTCATAGTACTCTCCACATGTTCTCTTTTACCCTTTCATCTGCTTAAGACCTTCTCTATAGTCCTTATTTTTCTGTCTCCTACATCATTAACTCTCCTCCCTCATTCCTGTATTCCTTCCCTTAAAGGATAAACACGATCAAGACTCTTTGATCTTTAAAAAAAAATTCTCTTACTTTACTCTGTGTCCTGCTCTAACCCTCCAGCCATCTTACTCCTTTGCTTTTCCTATAAGCTTCCTTGAAGTGTATTTTAGCTCTGTTTCATTTTATGATCTTTCATTTACCCCACATTCTGTAATCTGGCTTCTGTTTCTGAGGCTCGCTTGAGTTGTCTTAAGGAAAATGTGATGATTGCTTTGCTGAATCTGGTATTTCTAAAAGGAGAATTTGATCATTTTATGTTCTTGCTTAAAACACTTCAATATTATTTTAAATGAGTGTTAGGGTACAAACACCTTATAAAATACTTCAGTCTCTGGCTCTTATTTATTCTCCCATTTCTTCTATAGCTTCCTCCTAAGTGCCCTGAAAATAAATCTTACTAAAGTAGTTAAAGTTAATTTTACATTTTTTTCTGAGTTGTTTTCTCTACTTGGGAAGTATGTCCTCAATTGACCATTTATTTAAATAATTTCTTAAACTTCAAGACCCAACTCCAGTAATCCCTTCCTTTTAAAGCCTTTCTTATTGCATTAAATCACCTTTTCTCTCACCCAATGCATAGTGTTTACTCTGCTCCAGAACTTATTGCACTGTATTATAATGTTTGGTATATCTTATTTACTCTCCTACAAGATTGTGAGGTCCTTGAAGGCAAAATTCTTGTTCATCTTGATATCACTAGAATTTAGTTTAGTGGCGAGAACAGAGTAAAAAGCTAACATATATTTATTGAGCAGTGAAATTAATGATTATAAGTTATTTTCTTATTTTTAAATAAGTTCACAAAGTTAGTGATTCTAAGTGGTATTCATTAATGATATATGAGATATAGCGTTATAGTTGATAGTCGAAACATCAAAATATAAAGAACAAAATGATGACGCTGTGAATTTTTTCAAAATTAGCAAATACAAATATCCTTTAAATTATTTTTCTAGAAGAAGAAATTTGTATTTAAGTACCAGTTAGCAGATATAAAGAAAGTATTTATGCTTTTATAAGAAAATGAAAAAATATACATGATAAATTGCTTGGCAATAGCAACCTTGACTACAAACTGGCCATATATGATAGAGTTCAGAGCAGAAGGCAATGATCTTAATTATGAGCTCCACAGGGGCCACCTGCTACGGGACATTGCAGATCCTTGTAAAGAGGACAGTGGTAGTGGACAGAAGCCAGCTCCTCAGAGAATGGAATCTCTAAGATGGAAGAGGCATCACTGCCTTTGTTAATTGAAGACTGGATTGACGTAGGCAAATTTCTAAGAGAATGTTTGACACTGTCAAATGTGTGTGAGGAAAGAAGCCTGATATTGGAGACTCAGCTATTCATGAGTCAGAGTTAAAGAGAGGAAAGTTTTTAATTGCACTGGAATGCCTTCTGTCATTTGAAACGAGCTGTATTACACAGTTTCTAAACAATCAGATGGTAAACCAAACCTATGGAACGACTTTCAACCTTTGGTTAAAGAAATGAGAACAGGTAACTTAGAGGAAGTAATGAGGACAGGACGAGATTTTCCAGGGCACAAATAGAACACAAAACAATTGAAAATGAACTCAACAGCAGTGCTGAGATGAAATAAAATTCATGAACTGATAGTTCAGTTGAGGCTTTACTTGTGATTCTGAAGACTAAGTTTATCAAGTGAACTTGAGAGGAATTTCTAGGTCATGTGATGGGATTTCCAGGTCAGATGAAAGCAAATACGATCAACTCGTCCTCAAGTTCACTTTCAGTGCTTCTAGTTTCTTCTACATTTCTTCATTCTAAAGTTTAAAAAGCCAATATTGATTTTTTTCTGTATCAATTTGTTTTTGCAGAGTTTTTCTTCACCTACAGGGCTAAAAGTAAAGCATTTTTCTTTTGCATGTTTCTCTTGGTAAGGTACTTCAACCAATGTACTCATTTCTTAATGTCTAATAAGATTTTTCAATCCATCCAACAGATGTGTTTATAAAAACTTATTACCTTGCAAACACATTTATTGGCTAGAATATTTTTTTTGCTCTTTTTTCTTTCTAGTATGTATAACATGAAGTTAGTGATTGGGAATTTAAGAGTAACATCATGTCTCTAGATCTATTTCTATGTGGAATCTAATGAACAAAATAAACTGACAAACAAAATAGATCCAGAGACATGGAAGCATGCAACAGACTGCAGAATCTCAGAGGGAAGGAGGGGTGCATATATCTGCCCCCCCAAAGAACTTATATGCATCTATATATATAACCCATGGACAGAGATTATAGCTCAGTGAAGACCACGAGAGGGGGCAGTAGTGGAGAGGGGAGGGGAGGGACATCTGTAATACTTTCAACAATGAAGATAAATTCTTTTAAAAAGAGTAATATCAAACACTGGGAATTTGGTATTCGTGCTCTGTTGTCTTATTTCAACTTATTAAATAAGAGTTTGAAATTGTGTGTGTGTTTGTATGTGTATGTTTCCTCTGTGAGTTAGCTAATTTTGTTTAGGCCCTGACTCATGTAAATTCTAAATGAGTTACATAAGAATTATTAATTCTTCAGTTAACTACAGTGAAAGACTATGAAAGTTTCTGAGAAATGGAGTTGGAAAGCACTGTATTTTCTTAAAATTGGAAGCACTGTGGAGATGAATGAAGATGCTTTTGGGGGCCAAGTGAGTAGAGTTCTACTTTTTGGATATATCT